AATGGAGTTTGTCTCAGGAAGCAAAAGAATGAAGAAAATCCATGACTTCTTTATCGATTTTCACAATTGCCGATTTGTCACCACCATTTATAATTGAAATGGATGCTTCGGGTAAAGCTATTGGTGTTGAATTTATCCAACAAAATCACCCCGTCGCATACTTTAGCGGATGGTGACCATATCTGTTGGGCAACATTTCGGAGCTAATGCAAAAAAGCAAATCATACACCAGAACAATAACGATTTTTTTATCAAATTATTGTGCTTCGATTGCATAGTTGAATATAATCTGGGCACATCCAATTAAGTATCCCATGCTCTATTCTGAAAAGGTAATATTACCGCCGGTGTTATTATTAAACCGCCGGTGAATACCGGCGGCTTACCGACGGTCACCGGCGGTTCTACGATGGACGCACGACGGTTTAAACCGTCGGTAATACCGACGGCTATAACCGCCGTCAACCGCCGGTAAGTAACCGGCAGTCTAACGGCGCCGTCCGGCGGTCTAATGAACCAGACGACGCCAGGTTTAACCGCCGGAACACCGCCGGTGCTCTGACTGGCGGTTTTCCGGCGGTTACATTACCGGCGGCCAAACCGCCGAAAGACCGACGGTTGAAATTCCGGTGATCACCGGCGGTATGGGCCGCCGGAAAACCGCCGCAAAAATAAACCGCCGCAAAAATAAACCGCCGGTAAAAGGCCGTCGGAATTTGTTTCCTACGCCGTTTTTACCGGCGGTCACTGAACCGCCGTTAGACCGCCGGTAATTTGTCAAACCGCCGGTAATTTTACACTAACCGCCGGAAAAAACCGCCGGTTTTCACTGTTTTTCCTGTAGTGAATACACTAATGACATATAAAAGATATAACAAAGCTTTGGTAGATAAAATAAAAACAAAATTTCAAACATTGCTAAACTTGCAATAGCTTTTACATAGTATTCATAACTAGTTTGATAAGTTTGCTTTTTACCATATTCTTTTTTTTTTTTTTTTTTTGCAACATTTAGGCCAATTAAGACAAATTCGCACACACATCACATATGCTAGACTTGAACCAAAAACCGCTTAGTCAATAGCCAAAACTTCCAACCAACAAATCAAAATGAGCTGCGTACCATATTCTTGATGGCTTAATTTTTTAAAAGATAGAATAGTTATATCGTAAAATTCAACATTGCAAATTCCATTATAAAGAAACTTCACAGTTGTCCAATATGTGGTCACTGTGCAATAAAGAGAACAAGGAGCGCTTTATGGCTCAAATCTATTGGCCAAAGATTGAATATTGTCCGACTTGCCAACAAGCGAAATATGACAGCCAGTGACTAGCAAGAATATTACAACCATTGACAATTCCAATGATTACATGGGAAGATATTAGCCATGGACTTCATTATGAGATTACTAAAAATTCAGGAAAAGCTTATAATTTTGGAGAGTTCGGAACGTATTGCGGATTTAGATGATGCCAACAATTAGGAGCGGCATGACTTTTCTTTATATAAATTTGACAAATAATGGACACATTGGTAGCAGATCGATTGTTAGTATTAAAATCGTGAGACACACGGCCTCTGTTCCTACGTCCACAACTCCTCTTGCAGAAAAGAGCCATGGTGGAATCGACAGCAGAGGAAAGACGGGCCGCGTCGGAGGCAAGATTTATTTCCTCACTGAGGAGAAGAGCATAGAGATTATCAAGGCTAATAGAAGTTAACATGGTTCTAATAGCCATTTTGAAAGATTGATATAATGGAGGAAGACCGTTGAGAATGTACAAAATTATATCTTCTGTATCAACTTTCGAACCGGCTGAGGCAATTTGATCCACTAAAGATTTTATTTCAACAAGATATTGTGTCATTGTAGAGTTCTTGAGAGAGATGTGATGCAATTCGTTCTTTAGTTGGATAACTTTAGAATTATTAGTAGACTGAAAATAAGTTTCAAGAGTAATCCAAATATCGGAGGTAAATTCAAGATTGATAATGTAGGGAAGCACGAGAGAGGAAATAGTAGAGCAAAGTGCCGCGGCCAGATTTTGGTCTGTGAGAATCCGTTGGGAATAGATTGGATTAAGAATAGAATAAACCATCGGATTGATCCAGAACACGAGCAAGTTTAGAGTGATTAGGATCAAGAAAAGAATCAAACCCATTTGCACGAAAAACTTTAGTGATCTCCGATCTCCATATATAGTCATTGTCGGAGGTGAGTTGATTTTGAACAATGGTTTTGAGATTTGAAACCACAAATTTCAAGGTCGAAGGCAGAACCGGCGTTTCACTATTCATGGAATCACTGCGTTCGTCGATTTGATAAGAAGCCAAGTTCGCCATTGCTCCAAGCTTGATCATGCCCGCTCTAATACAATGTAGAGTGAGCAGATCTTGAAACCAAGAAGAGAAACAGGAAAATACAGAGGAAGAGGAAGTAAATTCAATTTCCTTGGATGAATATTACAGAGGAATACCGCCCATATATATAGATATGGTTTGGTGTAAAATATACAACTAGCCAATAGGTGTATGCCACCTCATTATCACTTTACATTTCTTATATTATATTTATCTACTAACAAAATCGTAGTAGTTTATTTCATGCAGAATCAGATGGATATACCTACTACATAGTTAAACACCTTGAGCTGAAATTTCATGCTATAAATCCATACCATGTCTTCCGGTATGACACATTTTTGCATTGTGTCAAAAGAAAAATAGGCCTTATGGCCTATAAACTAGAACCACCTAACAAAGCCAAGATTCACCATGTATTCCATGTGCCCAGGATGAAGTTATTTCGGTACGATGCTTACCACTAGTGCGACCAGCCAAAATACTTCAACAACCAAAGATGATACAAGGCAATAAAATGCTTATACATGTTATAGTACAATGGGGCAGATTGCTGGAGGAAAATGCATCTTGGGCCCTATCAAAAGAATTATAGCAATCTTACCTAGTCTTCAACCTTGCGGAATAGGTTGATCTCGATGATGGGTAATGATGTGATACGATCATTAGCCATCAAAAGAAGGCATAAAAGAAGACAAACAACAAAATGAATGAAAGACTTCCAAACAGCAAAGATAGTTTCAGCAATGAGTCAATACTACAGAAAAATATTTCAGCAATTTTATTAGTTAGATCACAGTTGTAGTTTTTTTTTTAATAACTAATCTATTAGCGAGTTGTGGTCAAGATTTTGAAAATTGGATCAAACATTTAACAAGAAGAATAAGAGCTTCAAAGTTCAAAATTTCAACCGAGTTAAATGAGGTAACTTAATAAATAATTAACACAACCTAAATGATATATTAATGATGTAATAATGATATTTTCAATAATCTAATATATAATATTCTAAATCAATTTAGGTGATGATTCTTGAATAATTTGGGAACCCTTGGATTAACAATACTTCTTTGCTTGAGGAACTAGGTAGGAATGCCCATTCCCTAAACATTCCCATTTATTATGAACTTAGGCTTCGTTTGGGACGGCTTTCTTACTACTTAAAATAACTTTTTAGTATAAAAATTTTAATTTTTTACTAAAAAGCTTCTTTAAAAAACGGTAAGAAAGTCATCCCAAACAAAGCCTTAATCTTTTGTCATCAATAGTAATTGATGTGTGAAGGATAGTTTGAAGCAGCATAAGATGGTAATCCTTGTGCATGAAAAAATGGAAAGAGAACCGTCTTTAGTTTACTCCAACCACCATTTCCCGCTGCCATAAAACTTAATGCCTAACCATCCAATACACCTACTTCCATATGCTCACTGAAGCGTACAGAACTATCAACAAGCCATGCAAACGTAGCATTTTCTTTAAACTTGCCTTCTGCAGCAAGAATCTACTGTGTCATTATGTCATTAGTATACTCAACAAAGACCACGTAATTTACCATAACAGTGCATTTTGCTGGTTACTTTCTCCTTCAGTGAAAACGTTAAAAGGTGAAAAAAGATCTTAAGTTATGCATACACTGAACTAGAATAAGGTATATTAGAACATTCATAATGAACATTACTGGGAGTTTGTACAATTCTAGAGAGGAAGTTGTGTACGAGCTGAATGATTGATCAATTTTGATACCTCACCTGAGAGCTCAGGTGCAATTTCTTCGGTAGAATCCGTCGATGCCCTCGCCTACAAGCTCCTAGCGACGACCAAACTCATATAAAAATTCCTAAAGCCCTTAACAGCAAAGCGAGAAAATCACAAGGGTGCAAGTGGCAACGATGAGTCCAAGTAGTAGCAAGCCCAACTACGCGACAACGAGTCCAAGGGAAGAGTCCACATAATGCCCGACGAGATCCATTAACACCATTAATGGCATGGTAGATAGCATAAACAGTGAAGTTGAAGTGTGAAATATATAAATTCTAATGTTCTAAGTGCTATGTAACTCCCATTATTATTTATCAATAACTATGGTAATTTGTATTTCAGCCTTTGACAATGAAAATAATAATTAAATTTGCTGAAGAGTTATTGAGATCATTTTTCTTTTTATTTTTTATTTTAAATTTTCATTTTATTTTATTTATTCTTTACATGAAATAGAGCACGTTTTACATCTCAAAAAATTGTTATTTGTTTATTTATGCAGTGGTGACGAAGATCGCCAGTGGGATAGCGGCAATAGTCAGCAACAACCGGCAATGCCAATGGGAATGGCAGTCTATGGCAGCAATTGCGGCAGCCAGGGGGGGGGGGGGGGGGGGAGATGACAATTAATAGTAATAGTTATGTTAAAAACACTCAAAAAAACCTAAAAGTTATTTTGAGTTTTTTTTTTAAGTTAATTAATTAAAAAATGTTTATAAAACAAAAAACAAACAAAGTAATCCCAAATAGGCCTTAAATAACCCAAGCAAAGAACAAAAGAAAAAAAATAATACAAAAATTGTATCGCAAGTAATCAGCACAGAGGACTGAATTAAAACATTAAAAAAATGAATTATATCAATAAATGTTTGGAGATAAAAAAGAAGACAAACCGGAAGCATTCATAAAACATGAAATATATAAATTAAGCACATATATATATTCAGCAAAAAATGTAAAATATTAATGCATTTTAAATAACATATCACTAAAATTCAGAACTGCGAAACAAGAAAATAACTAGGAATGACAAAATAATAGCATAGCTCTGCGCTCACACAGAAGGAAAAAACTTGTTTAGGTTGAATGGCAAGGAATAGAACTCCTCACTTCTATTATCGGTCTTAAAGGATCGGAATTTATCCCACCAATGATAACCTCTGTCCTTCTTGATGGCACTGTGGTGCCGGTGAAGTGTGTTGTCCAGGAAGAATGCCACAACACCAGCAACGAATGGCTTTGATGAGAATATAACGTTGATAATATCATTGAACTGTAAAGAACAAATTTCCATTAGGATAAATACTAATCAGATATTGATTATAGGTAAAGTATCAAACAAAATATTTTTCTCATACCCATCTTGCACTTGTATGAACTGGACCATACCCAGCAACCGCAGTATACTCATTGAAGTACTGAGGTACTGATAAGCCCATAAAGAGAGAGAATCCTAAGATAAACTTGGTTCTGAATGAATTCAGATTGCAGAATTGTAAGAAGCTTAATCCGCAAGAACCTGTTTATGGGTCGAATGTATAAAGAGATCAAAAAACTATACTAAATTATAGTACAACTGGTCAACAATCATAAAAAGGTTGTTTTTGCACACTCCATTACATACCAACATAGGCGAAGAAAATGCAATATAGAGCTGCAAATATGGGCAATGGAATGGATGCAAAAACTGCTCCAAACTTGCCTGACATCAAGAAAGATATGGTTAAATATTAACAGAAAAATTTTATCCAGTCGCTGGTAGCTTCCAAACAAGTATTTGACTAAGCAAACAGCTCAAATAAATCATAGAGCTAACCATGTATTATCATTGAAATAATTCGCCTATCTCAACTATTTAGGAACAGCATTAGGAATCCTTTCTCCATTCATCCCTATTAAATGCTACATGTGATGTTAACCATGTTTTGTAAAATGATTCTTCACAGCTTCTAACCACGTTGGTATATCCTTTTTACCTCATAATACTTTCACATTCACATTTATCTATTGGTCTTTTTGGAACTTCACACCCTCGGATATATCATAAATACTGATGGCTAAATTTTTTTTATCTACAATAGGATTTGCTCGCATATTTCATTAAAATAATTATTTCTACATGTATTTAACATACACCCATCTAAACATTCTACTTCTATCATACTCAATATCAATGCAAAGCCTAATGCGCATATTCATATAAGGTAGTGAATATAATTGAAAGTTTATAAAACACCTTTAATTCCTAAATAAGGTAGTGAATATAATTGAAATTTTATAAAAACACATTTTTTTAATTCCTAAAAAACTCCCATAAATTATAATATTCCTACAACAATTCTATATTTTAATCATCCAGCTTTGCAAAAGTTATAACATTATATATATAACGTCAATTTTCAATGTGGTAGAGCCAAGCATTTAAAACCACATATATAGGAATAACTTGACTGTCTGATAATATTGATTAGATTATTAATTTGAAGCACATGAAATTAAAAACCATATTATTTGTAATGTAGAATGAATAATTGATTTGAGGTCAATCTAATAATAGCTTTGATGATGACACTCAAGTCCATACTTCTTCCTTATTGATGCCAAAGCAAAGGTAGAAAGGAATTCCTCAACTTGTATTCTCAAGTGTTAATGGGGAACTGTAGGCGAGAGGAGAAAGAAATTAAAAATCCCATGGAAATCATACCACCTTGAATTCCTCAACAATTGCGCTTTTCTTCGTAAGAGATAGATGAGCCAAAAGAAATATGAGAAAAGCAAGGAGAGAATGTGAAGTACCCAAGAGCACAGGAAAAGATCAAGACTAAAATCCAATCAAAGATAAAGGATACAAAATACGAAAGTGGAAGAATTAAATTTACTTACAATTGCTTCAATATTCTATACTTATTGTAACAGCCCAAACTCTTAACTATCGAGATATTGTCTTCTTTGACCTAAAGGCTTCACGGTTTTACCATGTTGGTATAACTTCCCAGGAGGTCACCCATCCCAGGATTTCTCTAGGATGAGGACGTTTCACAGTAGAGTTTCTTAATGGAATTCCAACCATTACACCAAAAGGCATCTCGATGTTTAAGAGTTTAGCTTCTTTTTACTCAAAAAAAATACAATATCCCCCATTTAAGTACCTGACATTCTTGTCAGTGTCCTTATCCAAAAATCATCCACCAGGAAGATAGGATTCTAAAGATAGCCCCTACAAGTTCAAATGGTGGCTCCCGCCATGTAGCACTTTATCCTATACATGGTTCAAGAGGTTTCCCCATAGCGTATCACTTTGTCTTATATGGCACTTAGTTCCCATCTTCCGACTGGTTTATTGCTCTAATATCATTTATAACAACTCAAACTCTTAACTATCGAGATATTGTCCGCTTTGGCCTAAGGGCCTCACGATTTTGTCATGTTGGTGTAACTCCCCAAAAGGTTACTCATCCCAAAATCTCTCCAAGATGAGCATACTTAACTCAAAGTTTCTTAATGAAATTTCAACCATTACATCAAAAGGCGTATTGATGTTTAGAGTTTAGCTTTTTTTTACTTAAGGGATTTCACACTATTTGATATCAAAGCAATACACCAATCGAAAGATGGAACTGTGTCATACAAGATAAATTGCTACGCCATGGGAGCCATCTCTAGAATCTTGTATGGGACAAAGTGCTATGTAGTGGAAGTCGCCACTTAAAACTTATAGGGGCCACCTATAGAATCCTATCTTCCTGGTGGGTGATTATAGGATAAAGATACTGACAAGGACGTCAATTACTTAAGTGGGGAGATTGTGAAATTCTTTAAATAAAAAAAAAAACTAAACTTTTAAACATCGATGGACCTTTTGATGTAATGGTTGAAATTTCATTAAGCATGCTTGTCCCGGAGACATCCTGGGATGGGTAACATCCTAGGAAGTTACACCAATAGGAAAAAACCATGAGGCCGTTACGTCAAAGCGGACAATATATTGATAGTTAAGGGTTTGGATTGTAACACTTATAACCATCACCTGCTTATATAGCTTTAAGTATTTAAAAACCTCATCACTTGAAAAGAGTCATAGTTCTTAAGATCCTCATAATGAGTGTCAATATACTCAATTTGGTTCAATTGTGCTAATGATGAGGACATGGTAAGGACAGTAGTGTGAATCATGCTTTCATTTATTGTGTATGTGAGCTAAACAAGGCAGAAACGTATTCTTTTGTATTGATCTAAGCAACTGTGGGTGATTTGAGGCTCAAGGAGATTGTTGGGACTAAGACCCATACAAAGGGAGATGATAAAACGCAATCACATGTCCATAAGCTAATGAGCAAATAAAAAATAAAATCAATGTATCAAACTTGACGATCGACATCATAATCCTCATTAGCATTCCAAAACTCAAAGCAAAAGAAAACTTGATCAAGCTTAGTTAGCGTTCCTTGATGGTTTTCTGGCATGTATTAGAATTCAAAACCACTCCACTTTCCAACAAGCATTAACTGCCCATTACCTCATCATGCAAGCAACATGTGATAAAAATCAAGGCCACTAACCTTCCATAAATACTTGGTCAGCCACTCCATGGATGATTGAAATCACATTGAACCACTCACCTTTATTATTTTGTTTTGATCCACCACCTCTTCAAATATTGTTATATATTTTTATTTTTATTTTGTTCTATTTAAACACAATCCATGTACCTTTGATTAATCAAAGAATTAATGAATGAGGTATGGTTTTGCTTGGTTGCAATTATGGTGATTGCTCGGTCATTCCACCTTAGAGAACTTTAATAAGTTTTTCGTTTGCATTTGTTGGTTATCGGTCAAGAGATGCATAAACATCATAAGAATAATGATAATAATTACATACATTCATATTAATATGCATTAACATTATTTAAAATGACTATGAGACCAGTAATTATTAAAATGATAGTGATGAGGACATCCCACCATGGAGAGTTTACCAGAGACATGGTCGACGATCTATGGCCACAATTGCACCGCTTTACTTTTGAGTTATTATTTGTATTAGTTTTACTATTATGATTGTATTGAGTTTGTTATTACATATGTTTTATTTGTACCCTCACTTGAATGAGTAGTCCTATGTGAGCCCCTAAGGGCATGCTGGTCTTTTGTTTTTCTTCATTGTATGTTGGCTATTTAAAGCCACCCCTTCATCTTTTGGGGTTATTGATGATTAAGAAGAAAATTTTCCTACACCTTGTTTGTGAGTTGTGAGAGTTCTTGGGAGAGCTTGCTTGAAGTTCCTAGGTGAGGGCGGCGTAGTACCCACCAACTGCAAGAAGCGTCTAGGTTCGTGGTCCTCTTTCCGTCAATCCTTTCCCCTCTCTCCTCCTTAAACCGTCAGTCATCCTTCCCCTTCTCCCTCTCTCGGCCGAACCCCCACCACCATCACAACTCCGACCAGCCACCCCTCTTCCCCCTTCAAGCCGCCGGCCACAAGGCCCATCCCCTCCTCCACAAACCGGCAGCTCCAAGGTTCCTCCCCTCCTCCAAACCACCAGTACAAGCCCCAAAGCCCTCTCAAACCGCCAGTTCCAAACCTTAATCCTATCCCTAGCCACTGACCTCATCCTCCTCCCCTTTGCCTCCAAAATTCAAATCCCCATTTAACACTTTCTATTTATTAAATATCTTAAACTAGAAAAGTTATTAATTTCAAATTCCAATCTATTTTGAATTTGAAAGTTTTTCCTAAAATAAGATGGCTTATTTTAGGAAACTTCCAAAATTACATCAATTTAATTTAATCAGAAATTTGTCATAATATCCCCTTCCCTAATTAAACATCCCTTTTTGGCAACCTTTTTATTCCCTTCCCCATCTCCTCCCTGCCCCTCTACCCATTGGCCTACCCTCTCTCCTCCCTTCCTTTTTTGATTGTATCTCCTTTATTACCTCCCAATTATTTCCCTTGCCAAGTAAGAGATATTTTCTATTTCCCATAGCCGACCACATCAAGCCCTTGCCGCCAAGATCCACTCACAGCTGCTGTCCAGATTTCTGGACAAGGAGATTGCTGTCCAGAATTTTTTCGGATCATAATTGCTGTCCAGGACTCCCAAGACCAGCAAGATTGCTGTCCAGAACAACTCCTTGCTGTCCAGTAGAAGATCAAGTGCTGTCCCAAAATTTCTACATCTTCTCCTTGCTGTCCTGCCATCGGAAACTTCACCAGTTGCTGTCCAGAAGTTCCAGAACTTTGCAATTAGTGGCTCCTTCATGTATGGCTAACCCAGAACGTGATCACGGGATTGTTTACAACGATCAAGGGCAACCTCCGTTCTTCGGCATCAACTTGGAGGTCGACCGTACCGTTGAAGACTACGTCGAAAGGATTATATTCTCTCTCGCCGCCGCTATCGACGAACAACTCTCCAACTCAGTGGCAGATCAATTCTAGATCCTGATAAATGTGAATTTCTCCTCTAAGTTTTTTGTTTTTCCAACTCTTCCCTTCAATTTGTGGCATCATAAAGGTTTTGCGACCTATCTCCGTTTAGCGTACATTAAGAGTGAGCGTGAGTGGACCCAATTAGTGCTTAATCTGTATGTTAATATAGGAATTTCCTTTGAACTCTTCCAAGCTATGCTAATTGTGATTGGAACTAATTATTCGAGATTCTAACTTTTATCTTGTAATTTGGCCTGAGCTTAAACATCT